TAAGAAGGCCTTGCTTTGTCATAGGCTGAATTAGAGGGCCTCATGTGAGTGGAGAGTGTCAAGGTCGTAGAGTACTTTCCAGGTGGGAGGATTGGACCATCACCATCAGGAAGTATTTCTGGCAGAACAGGACATGTAGGGGGCTTTCATATCAGCATCATGCAATTTGCAATACAGAAACCATTTGTCTTTACAACAAAAATCCTTTGAGTACCTACTGTATGCTAGATACTGTTCTAGAAGCTGAACACACAGTAGCAAAAAGACAGATGTGGGAAAGATAGACAACAAACCAAAAATTATGGGATTATTGGCTAGCTATTGATGCATAACAAATCACTCCCAAGTTTAGAGCAATCAATTATGTTTAGCTCTCATGCCTGTGAATCAGTCGATCTGGGTGGGACTCTGTTGTCTTTGCTGAAATTTCTCTGGGTCCATACAGGTACTTGTCTATCCCTATGATCAGTGAGCTAGCCCATGAATGTTCCTTTGAAGGCACTGGCAGAGAACCTAGTGAGAGCAAGTTGAAATGCACAGGGCCTCTTGGGGCCTGAGCTTTTAACTAGCACCCCATCACTTTTGCCTCATTCCATTGGCCACACCAAGTTCATATGGCCAAACCCAAAATCAAGGGGTGAAAGGTGGACATGCAGGCTGGAGTGAAGAATTGAGATAATAATACAAGTGACCACTTATAGTATAAGGTCAGGTAACATAAAGGCAATGAAGGAACATAGAGCAGGTTCATGGCTCAAACAAAGAAAGGATGCTACTTTTTTGGTGGCCAGGTATTGTGGGGTGGTATAGTGTCATAATCTTGAGTATTTTAAGCAGACTAAAAACATTGAAGGATGTAGTTTCAGCATTATGCTGTGCTATAATGCTGTATGCTGTGGGCTCCCTCCCTGCTTTCCAAGTATATCCCAATTATCAGGCACTCCTGCATACTTGATAACTTTTGTGTCTCATAAGGACATCTATCTGGTTTATCACTATTCTATTCAAATGCCTCATCACAGCAGCAAATATAAAGGGTACCAAAATTTGAATAAATTATTTCTGCTGCATGATATCCCAGTTGCCCCTCTGCACACACACATATTCATGTGCCTGTACGCATGACATGCAAGCACTGCACACACCCACACAGCCACCTCCACACACTCAGAAATCATGTCTTCATCTGCACCAGTCAATGTGAGGAAACAGCCTCAATCCCTGAAACCTCAGGAGACAGCTGCAGACTGCTGGATGATGATCCTGCCAGCCCCAAAGCCAGGCCATTGTGCCAGAAAAAGGAATGTGAACCTGGAATGTGTCTGAACACAGACATGGCTTCTGGGGAGCCCACAGCTGCAAAAGCTGCTGGGGTTTGTTTGGGGGCTGTAGTGGGGGAGGTAGAGCAGGGGTAGGAGGTAGTTTTTAACTTCAGTATTTACTTGCCACCATCAATCAATCCATCAGCCAAAGGACCCTCATTAGGAAGCTGAAGGGAAAACAAGGCAAAACAAGCAAACAAACAAACGGATATCTTTTTCAGAGGTCTTTTATCACTGGAGCAAAATGATTTTCCTCCTGTTTTTGTTGAACAAAACATGATACTTTTTTTTTTTTTTTTTGGTGAAATGCACATTCTGTGAGAGTAGAGGGCAGTAGGAGATAGAGGGAAAGAGGAACATCATTTTTTTATATCTTTGGAATTTTATGTTATTATTTCCATTTTATGATGGAGAAACTGAGGCTTGGGGAGTAAAAGCTACTTACCCAATATAAGCAAAGTCTGGAGATCCCAATCCAAGTGTCATTTTATGACAAATCTTTTTCCAGCTTCCTGACCTCCACGGGTTTCTAGAAATGAGCCTCAAGGCCTAAGAAGACTCTGAAAGTTAACAGATCCAACACCTCCCCTACTGAGGTAGGAAGGGATGGGGACTGGCCCTTTGGGCACACCCACCTGGAATCAGGTGAGCTTGGCTGGAGCCACTCTGCCTGCCAGTAAGATAGCTCAGGGCAAAAGCCCAGGATCTTGGTGAATGCCTGCACGGCTCCTGGCTGGAGACAGACTCAGCAGAATTTTGGCCAGACAAGTCTGTATCTGTCTTCATTGGTGCCATTAGATGCCCCAGGTCATCTGCAGCCTGGGAATCACAGCCTCCAGTTACCTGTTGTGGGTCAGCACCTTAGTTTAATATATAGATGATGAAGCTTAAGGCAGACTAGAATATTGCCCTTGGCTGCACCAAACTACCTCTCCCAAGATTAGTTTCCTACTTGGGGTAACAGCTGGCCCCCTGGGAGCACACAGGCAGAGCCACTGGACTCTCTTAGGACCATCTCTGAAGGACCACTCCAGCCTCAGAGTTTCCCCGCTATTGGCTGAGTCTGCTACTGCAAAAACAACTGTGTTCACCCTCTTCCCTTGGCCAACCTTGTTTCCCTCCCTCTTGTAGTTGTTGCTCCTGAGAACATTTCCCAATAAGCCACCTGCACAAATCCCCATCTCAGCACCTATTTCAAGGAACCAGTCTGTCTCACACTGGTGATTAAATGCTCCAGCCTTGAAGTGACAACTGTTACTTTTGCTCACAGCTTATTGGCTAGAACTAGTCACACTTCCCCATGCTAACCACAAGGGGGCGACAAGTGCAACCCTTCCGTGTGCCAGGAACAGGAAAGCTGGACCTGTTTGGTGAGCAGCAGTACGAATGATAGAATAGGGTGACCAAAGAAAGGTCCAGCAGAACTATAAAATCAGTAATACTGCTTTGTACTTTGTGCAAGGATACATGTGCATCCTTGGAAACACCCTACCCTTAGGAGTGCTTCCCTGACTGAGTGGCTGCTTTTGGAAATGCGGCTGGAACATCATCTTACTGCCATCCTTTACCCCTTACCATGGTTTGTCATCTCCGAGCTGTCCTCTGCTTGCCCTCTCTCTTTGTGTCTGCTGAATCAATGGGCTCAGCTCAGCGGGTCCCTGATTGGCTTTTTCCCTAGAATGGAAAAAAGTTAGAATATTTCATTATGTCTTGATTTGAAGCAGGTCTGACTCCAAAGCACAGCTTGTTTTACTCTTACTGGTGGGCGATGTGGAGATGGGTCTCCACACACATGGGTTCCAAACTGAGACAAGCACAGCGTCTATCAAACACCATGACTGTACATCTTAGAGGTTCAGGGGGCGAGGTTTACTTAGACAATAGGAAAGTGGGAAGCTGGAAGAAGCAGTAGTGTTCACCTTTCTGGGTGCTATTTGGCCAGCATTGCCATCTGTTGGGCCAGCTCTGGTTAAAGCAGTCAGGCAGTCAAATGGCATTGCATCTTCATTAGTGACCTTGGGACCACATGCAATGATAGACCAGCTGACAATGAAATAATGTTTAAAAGCGCATCATTTTACATTCATTGAGTGGTTATTTTGTTATTTAATCCTCACCACATCCTTGTGAGCTCACTATGATGTTTATTTTCACTTAACTAGGGGGAAAACAGAGGCATAAACAGTTTCAGTAACTTATTAGTCGTGGCTGGGAGTTAAGCTTAGGCAATGTGGCTCTGAAATCTTTGTTCCACCCCACCCTTGCTGCTTCTTGATTAAGTCTAGATATCTATTTAACATATACTAATGGCAGTCTTCATGGTCCAGGCCCTGTGCCAAATGCTGGGAATACGGCCCAGTCCACTGGATCTCAGCAGGGCCCATTGCTCAGTGTCCTGCTATATTAGATAACATGTAATACGTTTATCCCATTATTTGGTGTCAAGGGAACTTATGTTAGAAGATATTTGTCTACCTATTTCTATAATAAGAACTATGTAATTTAAGTGTTTCTCTTATTGCTTTAGCCACTAGGAAGCTCAGATCTAAATCAGAGCAAATTTATTAGAGTTTGGATTTAGCATTTCAGTTTTCTGATTTTTTCCCCTTTTGACCTAGATTTTCTATTTTGGTTGCATAAATTCTATCACACAAATGTCCTTTATTATAGGACACCTGAAATACTTTTTAGGAGGCTGCATGGCGTTGACAAAGTAGCATCTTTAATGCATTTTCTTAGATTCCTACTGGGAAAGGCAGACCTAGATATCCCTCTCACCCTCATTTCCATAGAACCCCACTTATAAAATCCCTTGAAATGTGGCTACCACTGTTCTGAGTTTCTGGGGATAGCTAGGAACTTCCAAATGATCACATCCATAGAAAAAAATTTAAAAGTTTCCTCACATCATAGTCCCAACTTTGGTGCCAGACGCCTGTTCATGGAGTAGGTGGCCGGTCACATTCGTACCTGAGCAGTTGATAACATCTGTTGCCCCCTGATGGATTTTTTCTGCAGGCTAGAATTGATCTGTCCTCTTTGTGATTTGTGAGATGGCAGGGAAACACCAAACACCATCATGACTTGGGCCACGTGGGAAAAAAAGGAAAGAAAAAGAAAAAAAAAATCTATTGCCAAGGAAGAGCTGAAACTGTTGGGGTCATTTTATTTGATTTATTGGAAATAAAGTGGATCTTATTAACATTTTAATAAAGAGAATCTTTTAGCACTGGGCTGGAAGTGGCTGCCAGTCCCTGGTGCAATTCCATTCTCTGTGTAAGTGGAATCAGCTGGCGTTGCCCAGCGTGATTTGTGAGACTGGGCCCCAACAGTCCAAAAAAGCAAATGGGTTGCCTCCTTTGAGGGGCTCGCTTTGCGCGAGGTGCTCGCCCCGTATCTGCCATGCAAAACGAGGGAGCTTTATGAAGGAATCCGTCTTGTAAAGCCATTGGTCCTGGTCATCAGCCTCTACCCAATGCTTTCGTGATGCTGCCGCTGATCTATTTGGGAAGTTGGCTGGCTGGCGAGGCAGAGCCTCTCCTCAAAGCCTGGCTCCCACGGAAAATATGCTCAGTGCAGCCGCGTGCATGAATGAAAACGCCGCCGGGCGCTTCTAGTCGGGCAAAATGCAGCCGAGAACTCCGCTCGTCCTGTGCGTTCTCCTGTCCCAGGTAGGGAAGAGGGGCAGCCGGGAGCGCCCCGCGCCCTAGTTCTGCATTCCGATCGCCTGGCGCGGGCATAGTGAGGGGGCTTTCGGGGCGCTAGGGGACTCCTGGAGCGGTGGCAAAGACAGCCCTGGGCTCGGAAGGGAGGTCATTCCCAGCCTCAGAGATCCTAGGGCGTCTGGTTACCCACTCCGGCTGGCTTGCGTGTGTGTGTGTGTGTGTGTGTGTGTGTGTGTGTGTGTGTGTGTTGGGGGAAGAAGGAGAAAGCTCCCGAGTCCTTTATTTTGCAAGCAGGGGCGACATTCTTGCCTACATCAAGTGGGGTAACTTTGATTCGCCTTCTCCCGGAGGCTCTTGTGTTGGAGAAAGACTCAGTTGGAGACGACTCCAAGGAGTCGTGATTTTACCCAGCCCAGCGTGGAGCAGGGGAAGCACCGCTCGTGTCCGGATTGCGGGCTGCTCAGAGGCTGGAGAGGACGGCCTGGCATTGCCGACTTCCTGGGGCGCCCGGGTCCCCTCACTCGGCCCGGCGGCGCGCTGGAAGGTGCCTCGGCTAGCCGTGCTCTGCAGCCCGGCTGCTGCTGTCGCTCAAAGGCGCAGGAGCCAGTTGCGCCGGCATCGGGGTCCTTTCCCTCCCTAACCTCAGGCCGGGAAGGACCGCGGTGCGTCCCCTTTAGGACTCAGGCCCCATCCGCCCTACGCCCCTTTTGTCCAGCTAGCTGGAGCTTCGTCCCTCAGCCCCAACTGCCGCCCGTGCTGCTTTCCTGGGAGGCGCGGAGAACAGAGAAAAGTTCAAGCCTTGCCCACCGGGCCGCAGCTGCCTGTTAACCCTCGGAACGCTGCGGCGGGAGGGAAGGGCCCTGCGACTCTGGGAAAGGGGGGCGATGGAGACGTGGTCCTCCAGCAACCACGTATGTATCTAGGAGATCTCTGGAAGTTTGCGTGTAAAAGGCAGTACTCCGAGGAGGCCGGGCAGAGGTACTGGAGGCTGAGGGGCACGCCCAGCACTGCTCCGGGGCCTGTGGTTTCTGAAAGCACCACGACCTCCCAGGCTACCGATGGGACTTGGACTGCGCAGGGAGCCTACAAGTGGGTGGGTAAGATCAAGGCAGGGCCAGGCGGAGAGGAAGGAAGGAGATAGGGAGTGCCTTGGGTGCTAAGAATGGGTGTTGAGCTCCTGGCCGGACTCCTGGGTGCCAGGGGAAGACACGTGTGAGGATGTGGGTGAGAGGGGGAGTGAGCAGCCAGAGTCCCCTGCGGGGGCCGGTTAGCACGTGAAGATGCAGAGCGGCCTTCTCCGGGGAGGCCACTGCCGGGCTAGTGCTGGGGTTAGGCTTCGGAAATGGGCCAGTGTCCCAGGAATGCAGTGACCATGGAAAGCACACAAAGTGAGGGTGCCTGGCTGCGGAGCCCCCTCTCCCCACTCGCGTGTCCTTCCTCCCTGGGTCCACAGCCACTATTCAGTTATACTCCTCTTCTACTAGGGCTTTGCTGGCTGATTCTCCTGGGGGTCCTGGTAGCATTCAGTCCTGCCACCAAAGCTGTGCCCGACTATGAATCAGTTTTCCCATCTTTCTGGACTAATTTACTCCTCAGGCTCTATGTGTGTATATGCATCCCAATTTAGCAGGGTGGTTCAGAGCATGCCTCTGATTCGGGCAGATCTGCTCTGCCATATGTTAGTGGTACCACCCTGGGCAAGTTGGTTAATCTCTCTGAGCTTCCAGATTCTACACTGTAAAACAATCTTATCACCTTCCCAGGATTTCTAGGCAGATTGGATTGCATTCAACAGGAGGTCCTAGGTAATGCATTTACCACGAGGCCTGGGAGCTGTCAGTGTCTGAGGGGCACTCACCACTGCCTTTCCTAGCACTTTGCGGTACTTTTCTCTGTGGGCATGTTTTGACCTCAGTTTGGATTCCAGGGCTTGCCCAAAGTTATGCCTCCCCCTGAGTAAGACAGACCACATGACAGCACCCGGTAATCCTTATGCACTAGGGGCTTCTCACACGATGCCTTTGCAAAGCACCTGGTGTGTCTCCTCACCCAAGGCCCTGCTAGCACAGAGGGTTATGAAGGCTCTCAGTTCATGTGGTTTCTTTAGCATCGAGGAGCAGGGGTTGTACTCTGAATTAAATTGCCTGCCCTGAGAGGGATATCCCTCTTTTAGATTGTTATGCATAGTCAGAGCAAATGTCCACATTAGGACAGTAATTTATATCCTGGTAGCAATAACACCTTGCGGAGAAATCATTTTGGCACAGCCCAGTTAACCAGTAAGAAGCTCAAGTGCAGAGCTCTGTGGGCCATAGTGTAAAAAGTGGAGAAAGTCTTGGGCTCTTTGAGTCAACAAGCAAAAACAAAACTTTCCTGAGGCAGACAGAAAACAGAAGAAAGGGAAAAACAATGTAATAAAGCAAATTAGTCACTCAGCTCTAGTGGTGCTCAGGCAAGCATGTGTGTGTTTTTCCACCCCAGTTGTAATATGCTGGGTCCAGCTTTGGAAGACATCAGTCTCTGTAAGTTTATTGGCTAGGTTGCTGTTTGAGGTATTTTTGGAATGGGGGAGAGGAAATCTAAGCAACAATGGCTGGAAACTGGCAAAGTTGAGAAAGTCACCTGTCTTCTCCCCTGGGGTGTTTTGGGAAAGACTGTCTCAGAAGTGGCCTCTGGAATTTCGCTATAATGATTAATAAATGTGAAAAAAAAGAGGCATGAGCTGGAAATTCCACTGTAAATTTGATTCCCCCCCAACCCCCACCTATTTGGGTATCACAGCTAGCCAAAAGTTCTAACAATGAATGAGTAATCCCCCAATAATTAGGATTTTAGGGAGTGGTTCAGGTTTGGAGAGCAGTTGCATGGGAGTGACTAAAAATGTTCCACAGAATTCTGAGGTGTTGCTTTTAACAAGGGGTGTACTTTCTTGGAGTCAGAATCTTGATTTTCAAGATTTAAGTGAAAATCAGTGTCTTCTAGTGCCACTTCAACTGCATATGTTATATTTTAAGGGCAGTGTTTATTTGCAGAACTTTTTTGATGAGGATTAAAGATTGAGAATTGCAGAGAGTACCCTGCCCCAAGAAGCGTTCAACATGTGACAGCCTATAAGATCTCAAAAGCAGAGATGGAAGTGGTAAAAGGAGTCAAAGTGGTAGAGTTAATTTGTCTGAACAATTTTTTTAGCAAGTCCCCAAAGACATTTACTAAACTCTAAGGCTGAATATGTGATCTGGAAAATTTATGTAATGCCGTGGTCTATATTAAAAGCCTCAACAGTCATCTTAGCTGATCTCGCCTGCTCCGCCTCCTTCCCTTCTCTTCTTTTCTATCTTTAGCCCTTGGGTTTTCCATTAAATAAAATCTATTTTCTTGTAGAAGTATTCTCTATGTGTTATGGTGAAACTGCCTAACAAAAAATGTACCCAATAACAGTATTATCTAAAAGTTCCAGCATTTAGATGTACACATGAAGTCTCATCTCAGTCTGAAGTTCATTGTTTAGGTCAAAGTACAGCTAGGTTCTTGAGGATCCTTCTTTCTTTTCCCCCTTCCAAAAAGACAGTTGCTTGGGGAGTAGAGTTCATTTCTGTTTAGTGGGAGGTAAGGAAAAGGACACACTATGTATTCAATTCACATATGAATGACATTTCATCTAAATAGCCAATAATATTTCCTATTTCCCTTTCCCTCTGTGTGGGTATGTGTCTATCTCTGTGTGTTTTGATTTTGTTGTAGTATCTGTTGAAAAATTTCTCCAGAAGAGGGCTCCATCCACAGCATTACAAAATTCTGAATCTACAGCTCATATTTTAAAGAACTTCAGTACAATGGCTCCATTAAAACCAAACTAGTCTCCTTATTCCCAATTATTTGCAACAAGCTCCTCCAATGAGAAGTCCTGTCATTTTGCACTATCTTTCCTTCTTTTCTTTCTTCTTTTTTCCCTCATATAGTTGCTTTTGTTCTACCTTACTCTTCGGCTATGTATCCCCGTTGACTATTAGAGCAAGGAACGTTTCAAAGACCTCCGTAGACAATATAACATGAAATGTGAGGAACTTTTGATATTTCCTGCCATTTGACTTCAGCTGGATCTAGTTTACTGTTCAGGCAGCCAAAGGCAGGCACAGTTCTGCCTGTGTGAGGAGATAATCTTGCCTGTTTGGTAACTACCCAGGCGAGTGAGTCATGGGCCAGATCTGCTCACCCTCCAACACAGTTGAAAAGAAGAGGGAACTATTAGTCTGTCATCCAATTACAATAATCAGTTGGACAGAATCAAATCAAGTGACCACTGGTTTTGGCACTGTTTCCACTTAGCTGTCTGCAAGGTGCCCACATGCTTGGGAGAATCTGACCCTCCTGACGGATGCTGCCAGTGCAATTCCCCACAGCCTGTCTCCTCTGCAGCTACTTGGGGGACCTCAGGCCTGGCCCCCCTACCTGAGCAGAGTATACAAATGATGACTAGCTGGACTGTGGGATCCCTGGCACCATCACCATGCACTGATTAGAGGCTTTATTTTAGGGTTAGGGTGGAAAGTGATTTCTTACTCTATAAGAGAAGAGGCTAAGGGCAGGCTAAAGAAGAAAGAAATGACATTTCAAACTTGAAATGCAGACTGAGCCAGGTTTCATGGAGATGAGTGGTCACTCTTTGGTTTTGCAGATTGAACCTCAAGGTATCTGTTTGATGGTGCTGAAGCCCATCCATCCCAATTCTGCAAATCTGACCTCTGGGCAGAGGTTACAAAGTGACAGCTCATGGGTGTATCTTCTTTGGCCCAAATGTTTTGTAAAGTGAGAAATTTTGTACATTGAAAACAAATCTAGGCTTTTTGTATCTCTTAAAATGTCAGGTTAGGCAACCCTAGAGCTTCATTTCCACATGACCACACTTTACTGGAGCTGAGTCACTACTGTCCCCTTAGGGAGGACATGCTTCTGTAGTTTGTCACAGTCCCCTACTATTCACTACCAGCCCATTGTCTTCCCTAATTTTACCCACTTGCCCCTATAGCCATTTGTATTGGGAACTTTTGCTTTCCTAAATTTCCAGGCTTGATCAAATTTATGCAATCAATTTTTCAGTACTCAGCTATTTTAAAAGCTTCTTTTTGATTGCTCTGATTGAAATCCATTGATGTGCCCTTTAGGAGAACATGCACCTTCTGTCTGAGAATGTTATTACCATTAGCCATTGGTTGATTCAGGGTACCCAGAGCAACATAACACCCAGACCATTGCTCCATGTAGAATAGTTACACTCAGAGAAGTGACACGCTGCAGCTTTGAGTCAGTCTGAGTGCTGGAATACCAGCCTGTTGACACACCCAACACATTGTTATGCATTGTCATTCCATCTGTCTTGCTCACCCATAGTATGAGTATAATCAGAACATCACAAAAAATGTATCATACTTAGCCTTGCATGGTACTCTGGAAGCACTGAGCTAACAGTCAGAGCATTTGTAACTTCAGGGTAATGTTAGCACCGTGATTTTGTTGCCTAGAGTACTTTTATACATAGGACATTGTTACCCCAGCACCAACTGGAGTTTGTGTGATGTTTTTGGGACTGTTTTTAACAGTTAACACCCACTGCAGCCCACACATAGTGTTAATGCTATAATTAATGTTCTCTGGCTCTGTAAATACTAGACAAATTTGTCCACTCATCCCATTCTGGCAGGTAAGCCTCAGATAACTCTTGTTTTCCATGGCTACAGGCCCTAAAGATCAGGGTAAATATAACTACTTACATATACAAAAACAAAAAGTAATTGTTTTTCCTCTGGCAGTTGCCAACAGAAGTCAAATTCTTGAAAATTAGCATTAGCAATAGGCAGGTTTTGACATATCATGTCTCCTTTCAAAGGCCCCACTGAGTGTCACCCAATCTGCA